CAGTAATGTTTGTATGTATGCAGGAAAAGTTTGTATCTAATAATTACTGTGGTTTAGTCATAATTGTCCCTAGCGTAGTAGTTAAAAAAAAAAAAAAGGAAAATAAGCGTTAATGTGGACAGACCTGAATATATCATGTACTCTGTCCCTAAAATTCAACAAATGAACAGTAAGATCACGTTTTGAGGAGCACTGACTTGTTTGGGTGTTGAGTGTCACAAGGAAACTGTTGCCGCAGTGGTAAGCATTGGGCTAAGGAAAAGTGGCTGTCGTCTGAGTACAGTGCAGTGAGTGGGGAAAGACAGCAGCCATCCCAGTTCTGGCCAGGTTGAGAGTTAGTGCATTGCCCTAGGGTTTTGGGTGATTTTAACGTTAAGGATTTTGGTGTGAGCAATGTGCTGATAAAACCAAGTGTTAATTTAAGTCCGTATTAGAGGAACTGGCATTTTACTTGAGAGACTTGTTCTGTTGCATTTTTGTTGGTAACATATGTGGCTATTAAGTCTTCTGTCACTTTTGGTGTGCTTCATGGCATCATGATTGACTTTTTCTCCCTCTGTCAGGATACTAGTATTTTCACCCTTTTCAAAGGAGAGCAGACATAACAGAATTTTTTTTGTCTGTTTCGATCCAATAATAATTTTAAAAATTCACCCACAGCCCCCCCAACAAACAGAAGAAAAGTTAGACAGATCCTCATATTCAGTACCTGATTAGTCTTTTATCCCTTACCAGAACAACTTTGTTAAAAGGGAGAGAGCAGATAGAAAGAAAACTGATGCTTATGTTGCTGGAATGCTGTTTTTTAGTATCTACTAAAATGGAAAAATAGCTGTTGAAATGTAAAATCACTTAAAAATATTGTATAATGTTGATGAATTTCGAAAGGGTTATTATATATGTTTTTGTGATTTCCTGCAGAACTTACATTGTGCTTGTTCTTTTTAATTAGAGCAGGACGTTTTTAAACACCACCCCCCCCCCCAAAAAAAAAAACCAAAACCCAAACAACAAAAAAACCCAAACAAACCACCAAACCCAAACAAATACCCAAACAAACTAATCAAACCCAAAGCTCCAAAGCTACCACCAAACAAACAGCCACTGAAACAAAATAACCAGACTCTAGTGGAAAATGTCCCAATAATGAACCACAACTTTTTAAGTTGTTCTTGTGACTAACTTTTGCCTCTATTTACAAAAAAAAAAAATCATTTATGGACTAAGGATGTCAGACTTTTGCTTTTAATCAATAGTTTTATGTTGGTTTTTTAGAATGATAACCTTTTAAATAAAACTTGTATTCTCTGTTCAAGTCATATTGCCCCTTCACCTTACTTTGAACTCAAATTATCTTCTCATTAGCATATGAAACTTAAATTTGTTAATTGCTTTTCTGAAGCATCAGGTTTTGATAATTGTGAAAATTGAAACTATTCCAGGGGCTATTGCAGTGCTACCACATACAGAGGTAAATGCTCTCATTACTTGATGTTCTCTTGTCCTGATGGCTTGCTTGCTGACAGTTTGGATTACATTATTTCCCTGGGGACTCATTTCATCCTCTTCCCTCAGCAGCTCAAGCTTTTTAATTTATTTTTTTAATTTATTTTTTAATTATTTTTTTAGGAGTACTATTGGTGAAAGCTAATTGCAGAATATTCTGTGGCTGTAGAAAGGTTATTGTAAACATCTCTGTCTTTTTACTACTTTGGGATACTGTTGCCCTACAAATGAGGCAGACATCTAAGGTTTTGGATCAGTAGCAGCTGCTACTGGTAAACCTCAAGAAAGCTGTGCAAGAGCATTCCAAGTTTTCTTAACTCGTTCGACAGAACAAGTTTTGTCTTGTTTTCAGCTGCCAGCCTTGCTTACTGGTTGTTTATTCAATGACATGGAGATTGTAAATTGCTTAATGTTAGAGGCATTCATTTTAAAGCAGGATTTTTTGTGAAGAATTTTCATGTTTCTTGGTGGAGAAAATGAGATTTGGACTGTAATGATGTATGGCTAGAGGAGCTTGATACACCTTTATATTAGAAAAGACACTTGGAGGTACTGGTCAGTGGCATTTTGCAAAGTCCCGAGGAGCTCTAGCCTGTATTGAACTGTGTCAACGTTTTTGGGCAGCATCATGTGGTGGCAGCAGTTAGCGTGGAGACTGTACTTTGAGATTGGCAGTTGCCCACCCTTGTGCCATACCTGCCTTTGCAGAGTCAGCATAGCTAAATTGCAATAGGTTTTGTAGTAAACTAAATCTTTAATCTGGTTGATTTTTATCTCTGCATCCCATTGGTAGCTGTGAAATTGAGTATCTGTCACTGAGGAGAATCATCTGCAGAATTTGGTTTGAGAGTTGTGTTTGAGTTCTGCCAGTCAGACTAGAAAATACTTACTTTTACTCATGAACTGATGACACTTGAACAGAGAATTAAGATCAGGTGTTAATCCATGGAATGGTTCTCACTTTGACAGATTATTTAAAAAAATTATTTTATGTTTTGTCCTTTTATCAATACTTATGGGTTTTTTTTAAGGAGAACTCTACCATCTATTGCTTATCTATTCTGTGGGATTTGAGGGAGGGAACCTGAGAACTTGTACATTTAAATTGGGATTCTCTACTGTTCTTAACTTGCCTCAGGCTGTACACTGGTTCTGTTACAGTACTGTGATTTCTAAAAGGGCAAGAGTTAAGTTTAATTTATTTTGAACCTCCCTAAGCTCCATTTACATTGTATTTGCAGTCGCTTCAGGTAGGATTTGCTTGTGGTGTTGCTGGAGGAGGTCACAGGACTCTTCCATTGTTTCTTTTGTCTCCCCATTGACTCTGCTAATTGCTTTCTAGATGTGAGAATAAACGAGAGGCTCTTTGAAAGGTTTCAGCTTGTCTTCTGTCCTTTCTTATGTCTTGCTGCTGACAAAACGGGAAGATTCATTGGCCTTCGATGCTATTCATGAGCCTGCAAAAAGGATTCTTTCAGTCTTCCTCTCATCCTCTTTCAACAAGGCTCAGCATTTGTATATGCTCTTCAGTCTGTCTTTGATTCCTAATGATAGCAGAAGTCAAGTGTGCCTCTTAACAGTGTGCAGATACTGAGATAAAATCTAGGTCTTCCCCTGATAATTATTATCCTGGCTTAGTTGAACATTAAGTGGAGGTTACAAATCAAGCCTGGTGTTACTGCTTGTGGAGTGTTCCTTAAACTCCCGTTATATAATTTCCTACTTCATACTCTTTTAAGTTGCAGAGGATTTACAATTTGTGTTTTTTGTGTGAGAAGCAGGCTGGAAAGGAAGATTTTTTTTGCTCGACCTATTCCTAGAAAGTACAGGTTTGTGTTGCTTAAGAAAACTTGTTTGGATTCCATGGTGTATTACACAGATGAATCTGCTTTGTCATCCCTTCCCCATGAGCTGTTAGAGGGCTGTTCTTGAACGTGGTTGTTTCAGTCGCTTGGAACTAAGACTTACAGACAGTTTTAAGCACAGCTACCTTATTCCTTATTATTTTTGTGCGAGCACAGTTTCTGTTCTCTCCCCAGTGCTTATCTGTGGATAGACAACAGATGCATCTCAGTTGCCATCTCTTTTGGGTTTTATTTTCTTTCTTAGGCTTTTCCTAAAATGCATTCTTCATCTTAACAATTTTGCTAGGGTTCGATTTCTGAACCTCACTAGAAAACTCCTTAAAAGAAAGATGTGGATGCTGTGGAGACATTACTGCAGTATTCATTTATGTGGATTGCTGTTAACCCTTTGTGCCTTTTGTTTAACTATTAACATGCTTCATAAATTGGTTATGGGACACTCCATATTGCCTTCTAGAACTAAAGAATTGGTTTGGTTCTGATAAGTATTTCTGATCTGTTATTGGAAGAAACAGGTATCTGCACTGCTTTATGTGAATGTTTGAGGAAACGTAATTGGATTTCTCTTTGCTTCCACATGGGGTTTATAATGCAAGTACCATCAATAAAACATCAGGATTGTCTCTCAGCTGTGTTACTGAGAAAGCATTCTGAAGCATAACATTATGCAGAAGCTTGAAGTCAGATCTCTTCTTTCCCTGCAGAGGTTAAAAAGCCCAGTAATCTGTTGGAGCAGTACTGGGCTTCAGGCCAAGAAACTAGGCGTGAAGTGCTGGCTGCAGTGCATCTAAGCCTGGTAAAATCTGACTTCTCTAAATGCTTGGCCTCAAAAGTAAATCTAAACTCGGCTTCAAGGATTACTCCTTGAAAGTATGAACTCCTCTGGGTCTAGTGTTATGTAGAAAGCATGCCTAAAGGCTCTGCTTTTGTATGGCAACGATTTAAAAACCTGGAGTGACAAGAAAGTAGATGAATGAGACTGCTTAGATAAGCTGTTGCTGATGGTAGGTAAGCAAGGGAAGCACTAATGCATTGTACCTGCGGTGCAAGTACAGCACACTTCATGTGCCTATGTTAATATCATCTTACTGCTGTTAGTGCATTAGTGTAGCCTGTGACCTTAATGTGAAAGATTTTGCAGCTGACAAATTAAGTCTTCATTCCAAGCTACTTGCAAAAGCCTTTAACTTCAGACTATGTAGCGATAGTTATGTGAGGTTTCTAGTGTATATGCACACTCAGGAAAATACAAACCCTGCTCTTTTTCCCTATTTCTTATCTAATGCATGTAACTTGAATTTCAAGAAATAAGAGCCGATTACAGATGTAAAATAAGAGCAGAGGGTAATAAGAGTAAGTAAAAATTGTTACTTATATGCAGTTAATATACTGAGTTGTTGCATACAGTTCTAATATAATAGCAACAAAATTCATCTGAGTTAAATAAGCTTATGCTGGATTATGCAATAGATAAATATTAGCTTTTCATTTTATAAGTACTGTGATTTCCGTGTAACTCCTCCTTTTATCCTCTTCATAGAGCTTACATAAGAGTAACATGAACATGCATGCAGCAATTAGTTTTCTGCTCCAACTTAATTGTAAAATATTTGCATTTCAGCTCAAATCAAATACAAAATTAAAGAAAGGGAAAAGAAGCAAAAAGAGAAGAAGAAGCACAAAATAATGAATGAAATCAAGAAAGAAAATGGAGAGGTCAAATTACTGCAGAAAGGTAGGTTCAAACTCTCTGGTGGTATTTCATTCTAATGCTTTAAAATCTTTGTCGTTGGAGTGGATGGTGAGTTTTAATGCTATGTTTTTCATTTAACCTAAATTACATTTTCACTGATTAGTTGGTACGAGAGTTGCAAATTCAAACTTAACTATAAATGTTGTTTTTTCTGTCAACAGTGTTGGGTACTGGAGATTAAAAATATAACTGTCACCACAATGTTGCTTATACAGTAGTAGTAAAGATTAGTACATAGAGGAATAATATTGGTGCTGCCTACATCTTCTCTGCAGTTACTGAAGAAGGTTATTTTATATATTGTGGATAAGAAATCCAAATTCATGTCACATTCTATATCCAATATTAAATGCACAAAACTGAGTAACTAAGGAGTTATAATTCAGAAACTTTGTCAAGTACTGAAAAATTATGTGCAGTGGGCAGTCTTAATTTTGGCTAATTTCTTCAACTTCATTCACTGTAATGGAACGTAATTAAGATTGCGTTCTCACACTTGCTTGTACATCCACTGAATCTTAGAGTTGTACAGTAGTTGAGGTTGGCAGAGACCTAGGCCAATGCTGCTACTCCAAGTAGGGTCAACTAAAGGAGGCTGCCCAGGATTATCAGACTCTCTGTATCTTCAAGGGTGGAGGCTCCCCAGTCTCTCTGGACAACCAGTATCAGTATCTGGTGACTCTTGCAGTAAAAAAAAGTGTTGTCTTATGTTTAAAAGGAATTTATTTTTCAATTTGTACCCTTTCCCTCATGTCCTGTCACTGGGTACTTCTGAGAATAGTCCTGCATCTGGGGAAGAATGACCCCAAGCACTGGTATGTACTGAGGGCTGATCAGCAGCAAAGCAGCCTTGCTGAGAAGGACCTTTGGGCTGTGGCAGAGAACAAGCTGGCCGTGAGCCAGAAGTGCACCTTCGTGGCAAAAAAAGGGCTAATGGTATCCTGGGCCGCTCTAGGAAGAGCATTACCAGCAGTTCGAGGGAGCTGATCCTTCTGCTGGCCTGATTCACCACAAAGGCACACTGAGGACCTGTGGTCAACCTGACTTCCAGCAGCACCCCAAGTCCTACCCTGTTGGGCTGCTGTCCAGCCAGTTGGTCCCCAGCCTGTGCTGCTGGTGCACAGGGTCACTCCTCCCAGGTGCAGGGCTTTGCACATCCCTGTGTTAACTTCATGAGACTTCTGATAGCCCATTTCTACAACCTCTCAAGGTCTCTCTCAGTGGCAGCAAAACCACTCCTAGTTTTCTATCACCTACAAACTTGCTGAGGGTGTGCTCTGTCCCCTCATCCCAGCCGTTAATGAAGATATTGAACAGGATTGGCTCAAGGTATCAATGTCTGTGTTATTCCAGTAGTGACTGTTTTCCAGCTGGGCTTTGTGCTGCTGATCACAACCCTCTGAGCATGGCAGTTAAGTCAGTTCTTGATCCACCTCACTCAGCACTTATCTAGGTCATCACTTTTTCTGTGATGTTGCTTATTTAAGTAAACCAAATGTTTCTTTCCCTGTTATTTTCAGACTCTACTTTTGAAGTTAGGAATCAATTCCTGATATATTTCTCTACTACTTTATCTGCTGTAGGATTTCATTTACAAACTAAAAACCTGAACCCTGCAAACCAAAAAATTATCGTCAGCATGTTCATATGAGGTCAGAGGGACACAGAACCCTGCAATTACTATGTCACGTATTATACTCTGTGTACAGCTCCAAGTAACTGTATTAGCAACTCTGACAGCTTAAAACCTGTGTTGATCTGATCTCAAGGTATCAGCTTAGACCATGAGGAGTGTGTAAGCTGGTGACTTCCTATGAAAAGAACAGATGTGGCTTGTCTTTGTCAAGCATGAAAGGAAGTTGGTGGTTGAGATACTGGGCAACGCTTAACTGCCTCAACAGTGAAGTTCTTCAGGTTTTTTTGTATACCAGCCTTTTTTTTTACCGTGTGTCCTATTCCTGTTGCTGTTCAGCAGTTGAGGTGGAAGCTGCAAAGGCAGCAAATCTTATTACAGAGAGCTAATAAATGATTCCTAATGAGGGTATTTGGCTTCAAGTGGTGCTTTATTTTAAAGTCAATGTGAAAAAAGCATATGCACAGAAGCTGTGTTAGAACACCTCTGCTTTACTGAGCTAGTTGAGTAGCAGGCTGGGTTATTCTTACCGAGAAGAGCAGTACAAGTGCAGTAGGTGCCTTATCTCTATTTCATAGATCTGATATGTTATCAGTCTAGTGTCACGTTATAGGTTTTCTTTAAGATGTTACTGGGAAGTGTTTTGTAGAGGTTATGTTTGGTTTACCAGTATCCTGCAAAATTGACTCCTATTTCAGAGAAAGAGGGGAGCATGTCAGCAGAACTGTTATTGAGAGGAGTCAGATCCTCTTCACTGAATTTACCATGTTCGGAACAGCAGCTCTGGATGTCTTCTCCAGACCTCCAAAGTCTGGCTCGATGTACTTGTATGTGCTGTGAAGTTTGTATAACATTTCCTGATCCCGTCTGATCTGGCTTTACATCCTGGGTGCTTAGGGCAAGAGAGCAAAGGCAAAAGTGCTTTAAGATACAACTTCTTGTATGTGTCAGTGGTCAATCCCTCTGTGACCTTCTCAGACATTAACTCTTCATTTAAGGATATCTTCCTGTGAAACAAATGTTAAGATCCAAGTCCTTTTATTCTGAGCTCAGAATTCACTGTGTGAGTTTAAGAACAAAGGTTTGGGACTAATCTACTTTCCTTTTCTTTGGGTTTTTGGTTTTGTGGTTGTTTTGTGTGTGTGTCTTAAGAGGCTACAGTGCTGGTCTCTAAGACTGCGTATTTCCTCCTTCTGGGCATTAGATCTTTATGCTGTTGTAAAATGTTGTGACAAAAAGAGACTTGACTGCCGGGTTCAAAGTCAGAATTTATTTGAACAACACGTGCAGATCCAATACGTCACTATTGCAGGTTTTACGGATACAATGGAGAAATGCCCTATTGCAGTTTTAAAAGCAAGACTACTCTATTACAACCACAAGAGATTCACGAAATGCACTATTGCAGCTACAACAGAGTCACAAAATGCGCTATTACAGCCCATAGACAATTCATGACAGCCCGCAGACCACGCACAAAACTCCCTGCCTGTATGCAGTTCACAACAACTCAGAGGTAACTCACAGAATTCACTGTTACAACTCGGACGGTTTGTGGAACACGCTATCACAACTTAAACAGTTCAAAACACTACACTTGTGTTAGTCAGTCACCTGCGACTACAAATTTAAAGCCTGCCCTAATATTTACTTACCCCTTCAGGTAAGGACTGCCACGTAAGTTACCTTGGCCAGCATCCTGACCAAGGGGGATGGATCTCATCACATGCCGCTGCATCATAGAGAAGTAACTCCCAATTTCCAGCCTGAATCTTAGAGTTTTTACTTTGTGATCTACTTGACAGTGGGCAGGAGTGTAGCTGAGTGGATTACACCACTTGGAGTGTTTGTCTTTAGCAGTGTTTCCCCTTACCTTTATTTATTCATGGGTGATATTCCCTTCTGTATGCTTCATCTCTTCCATATCTCTGTATTGTCTGGGTCAGTTGAAACCAAAAGGAAACCCTCCAGCTTAGCGTTGTCTTACTTTTCGATAACTGAATGGCGGTTTGATTGGAACTCTGGGCATATTATTTGTTGGGAGATTTCAAGGCTCAACTCAGGTTTGGTTTCTTTGAATGATGCAGCACTGCCTTGTTTAGTTTTGTGCTTACCAGACAACTCAGGGCTGAGCTATCTATACAGCTCCCCTCTCTGCAGACACAGGGCCTCAAGGCAATCCAAGGCTGAGTTGCTCTTGCCAACCGTCCCATGAGTCACCTCTTGTACTGGACGTTACTGAAACCTGTTTAAACTATGAGCCAGACAATCCTTACAAATGTTACTCTGAACGCCTGTTGAATGCTTTTCTTCTTGTGCTGAGAACATTGTTAGTGAACATTGTTAGTGGTTTGGTTTTTAATTTTTGGTGTTTTTTCTTCTGTTTGTGACTTTCATTGAAGGGGTGGAGGTAATGACCTGCCTGACTTCAGGCAGTTAAAGTACCAAGATGAAAGGTAGCTAGTTACAGAAGAAGAGGTCAGTACTGGGGGACTGATGCCTTTTGAGGGAGAGTTGGTGTATAAGCCTGATTTTGGTGCTTTGAGCTAAATGTGGAAGTTTACTTATATTAGAAAGCTCAGGGTTGTAAGCTGTTCATCTGCCTAAACCATGGGTTGCTGTTGTGTTGAAAGCAATGATAAAACTTGCCCACGTTGGAGAAGGGCAACTCCTAAAAAGGGTATTTTTGCAGTTTCTGAGGCTGCTAAAGGAAATTTTTGTTTAGCTTTTTCAGAAAGCCTGATGACTTTTCTTATGCATCTAGAGTAAAAAGGTTTTTTGTTCTCCTTACACACTTGCAGATGTATTCTCTGTAGAATAAGGCTATATAATTGCTTCTTTTTTCTCAATCTGTTACGTGGAAGGAAGAGCTCAGTTCTTAGAAAAAAGCTTCTTGATGCATGTGTGCTGTTAAAAATTCAGGAAATGTAAGTGATTTAAACTTGCTTTTAAAGATCATGATAAAGTTACCTTTTAGAAATGGAAAGTTTCATACAAAAAAAAAATCACAGCAGTGTGACATGACTGAGGGTTACTGGAGGTCTTGCAAAAAGAAAAAGGATTAATAGGGTTATTTGAAAACAGTCCCATTTTGTTTTCCCTTTAAAAAAGAAAAGTCCTGTTTTTCTCATTATTTATATGAGAGCACAGCAATTTCTAAAAATGCAGTAGGAGAAATTCTTAGTATGTGTTTATGAAAGATTAAATGGCTTAGTTTATGGAATGCCAAAATGCAGGAAAGAAGGGAGAATGAACAACTTCATCGTGTTGGTATGTACATCTGTAAGTACAAATTGTTTTCAAAGCTTTTTTAAACTCTTCTGGGAGAAAGGACATTTATTTTAATTGT